TAGTAAGTGAAAAAGTACGGTAAGTAAGGGTTCATATTTTATCTACTTTTCTTTTTTGATTAAAGGAACATTAATCTTAAAATCTATCACAGTCTACAAAATCAGTTCCAATCCATTATAGAGTGACAAAAATGATAAATTTATGCTGTAGTCTTGCTGTTGTCTAAAACGAAATACCTTAAGATGGTATTGCATTGCAAAGGTACACAATTTTCATGGAATCAGCAACAGTCCTACTATCAGAGACATGAAGAAATAAAAACTGTTAAACAGTATCTTTTTCAAGATATTTGGAAAAGAGAAAAAAAAAAAAAAGCAAAAGCTCTCCCTTGAAAATAGTGGTTTTCTAGGCTGTGTGAAATAGTCATTGTTACTAAAAGTATACCAGAAATTTGTGTTTTGTGTAAACACCACAGGACTACATACACAAAGATCATTCTAAGAAGTGGTGTAGCTATTTAGTGTTCTGTTGGATGGAAACCTTTTATTTGAAGTACTGAATGTGTCAAAACACATTGTGTTGTCCTCTGACTTGTCCAGAAGGACAACTGAGACCAAAATAAAACCATTTGCCATGGAGCAGGAAAGGGCCTGAATAGGTCATGAAAGAAGTGACTTATTGCCAGCTCCTGTTGATTTTACCCTTTGTCTTGATAGTTGGATCTTTCCCTAAAGCAACAGCTTCAGCATTCAAACAAGAAGATAAGGATCTCAGTTTTGACATAAAAATAAAACATGACCACCCCTGGATGGGGCAGCTCTGCTCTGACCTTCACACACTACCGTGCCTTCAGAGCGAGCTTCTCTCGGCTGGCTGCACTCACTGACAGGGTCAATGGCATGGCAGTGACCTTCCACATGACAGGAAGCCTGGGCTGGACTGATGAGCTGCCAAGAATTTTGGAGAGGTGTGCAAACTGCTCAAAATGGTGACAGCAAGGGGTGGGAAGGAGTGATGATGGGTCACTTAAGGTTCTACCCTTTTGGTTGTTCCCATTTGACCCACTTCCTCCCTGACCACAGGTGACATTGTGATGGATGTTTTCCCTCGTGGCACAGCTTCCGTCAGTTGCTGCCTCTGTCACTCAAATGGGTTTGACCAGTTTCAGGGCTGATGAGCCCAGCATTATCAGAGGATCCTCCCTGTCTCCTCCATATCATGGCTACTATAAAAAGACATTAAGAAATTATAATTTTAAGTTATCATGAAGTAGAATCAAAGCAATCCACATGGAACTGTTAGGAGAAAACTCATGGCAAACTTGAATTACTGCACTAAATATCTTGAGAGATCCTATTTGTAAAAACATCTCAAGAAATTTTCAGTGTAACAAATACCCATCCCTACAGTTAGCATGAGCTGAGTGTTAAATGGGAAGAGCTGGAGATGGAACATGCAGAAACTGCTTGTCTTTGTGACAATACACAGTGTAGTCAGTTCACTATCTTAAACGAAATTTTGCCAGTTTATTTGAAATTAATCAGTATCTGCTTCTTGACAGACAGACTTGGTAATCTATGTAATGATCTTTAATTCTGACATTCTGCAAGGAATGCCTGTTGGGTTTTTTTTGATGGGTGCTGAGAATCAAAATTACTGTGAGAATCAAAAAAACTGTTATGGAGAGAAGATATGTCAAGGTACTTATAAAGGGTCCTCTAGGACACTAGGACTTCTCTGATATATGGACAATGAAACAAGTGCAACAACAAAATTAGTGGCCTAATGACCTCAGCTCTTGGAGGCTCTGTGTCACAGACTTCTAGAGCAGCTATTCAAAACTAATGGGGTACACCACTGATACACAGGCACAATGAGCCAAAAGTACATGACCTTCTCAGTGAGCTTCTTTGAAATGCAAACAAGAATCTGATGGATCAGGAAGGCTAAGCCTGTTTAGTTTAATGAAGATCAAATTATCTCCTATTTCTTCCCATAAAATTGTGGCAACAGAGTGTATTGTCTGTTCTCAGTGTTACACAGGAGTTCAGAGGTGTTCAACACTATGAGAAGTTTCACAGCTTGAGTATCCGAAACTGCCCATAAATTGTTTCACCCTCTCTAATCTCTACCAAGTATGAATTGCTCCATTAATGTTCACGTGATGCTGTTCTCACCACACTGGACTCCTCTGTGCAGACCCATGGACCTAATCAAACACATAATCAATCAATCTGCTTGTCAGATACAAGCAGCAAACAAGACTTCTTTGTGTCCTACACAATTGCCTTTTGAGAAAAAAAGTGAGCTACTGGTTTGTAAGAGCACGTAATACACAAGTAATGCATGAGGGGATTGAGCCTGTGGCGCTGTGAGGAAACCTTGTGACTGAAATTCCTGACAAGGGACATTTCTGATGGGTTACTCACACCGCCCTGACTGGTGTTCTGGAATTACACAGTATGAAAGAATAGTTTTAAAAGATGACTTGTAATCAGTGGAGTCAAAAGCTTCTTACAAGTTAACAAAAGACAAAAGTGGGTAACCCTTTGGCTTTAGCATCGCTGAGCTTTCATGAAGGATGAATTCTTGCTGCAGAATTCCTCTCTGGAGAACAGAAGGGAAAACAACAGAACAGCTCAACACATTTTAAATGTGTCTCTGAGATCCTCAAAGGACAATAAAAAGTCAGAAACATGAAACCCATCCTTGTTTTGCCTCCTTTTTGGAGGTGTCATCAACTAGAGTCTTGAGACCCTTGAGACCCTGCAATGAGACAAGAGTTCAAAGTAATTTAAGTGGGCAAGTGCAGTCACATCCTTTTCTAACAGCCAGCAACATCTTTCTGTTGTTATGCTGTAAAAAAACTTCCAGAAAAGCAAATGTGATTTGGACAGGTACCCAATAAAAGACATCTAGGTCTGCAAACACACTTGGTTAAAGCTTTGCTACATACACTATGTGATCAAGTAATTTTAATGTGTGTGTAAATTGCATTCTGTAACTTGGATCCTATGCACACCAGGTAAGAAACTTCAAGCCATGATAGTCCCAACTGATGAAATCAACTAATTAATTCTGCTAAAATTACTTTAAAAAAAAATCATTACCTGTATTTCAGGCGAGTGGGAAACACTACTAAGAATCAATTAAATGCTTGTTACATGCCATGTTTACTTGGCACCTGCCAAATAAAATTCAATTAGCGCTTTTAAAACCATGTAGGAACTTAACCAGATAGAGTACAAATAATCCTCTACACAAATTTCCTAAGTCAAGAAAGGGCCTGACCTTCATCCTTCATTATATAACAAAATCTAGTCAATGATTTCTGCAAAATCTATACACTTTTACAGATGTAAACATTTTTAGATATACATGGCAACTTACTTTGATGCATTACATCAGAGCATACATTCCCTGGTCTTGCATCTGAAAATTGCTACAATTTCTTTTATGTAGAATACTTGTGAAAAATCATGAAGGCATTTATGCAGTAGAAATTTGAACAGGGGCTTAGGTAGCATTCCTGTAAGTTTGCTTTACAGTGTCTACTGACAGACTGAAACAATTTTCATTAACCAGCCTAAAGAACATCCACTATCATCACCCCAGCAGCAGCAACTCAAGACCTCTGGAAATCATCGTGGCTGGTGCAGAAACAGAGTAAGTAATGGCCCATTATAACCGCTGATGGAATCTTAAACATCTTTATTTAAATAGTCAAAATAAGTATTTGCTAAGGCATAGCTAACCAAAGTACCACAACATTTATTTTCTTTGAGCACGTATGTCAAAGGAACACGAGTGCCACCTCCTGGTTTAGGCATGGAAACCACTCTGGGTTGTGCTTACTGCATTAAAAATTTTCAATTAGATGTAGGGCTTTTTTCTCTCCTTTTCTTAAAATAACTAGAATGTTCATCTTCAACATTCACGGAATGCTGTAGGAACAAAAATCACTATATGTAAGAATCCAGTAAAACTTGCTTATCTTTAGTGCCTGTAGCAAAACAGCTATGTAAACTCTTCACAGGTAATTTTCCCCAAATTTAACTTCACAGATGTCAAATCCTATTAAAATACAGGAATTACCACAATTTTAAGTGAATATTCAAGTGCAGTGGCTTGTAATTTAAGAAGCAGTCTGGGAATCAATGTGGAGAATGTTCTCACGACTCTTTTCTATCCTAAAAAATGCCTTTATTAATTAATAAAGGCATTTT